TTTTTTAATCGAACCTGCATTCGTGTTTCAATTTGTTCATGTTTTCATACACATGTACATACATACGTACATATGTATTTATGTACATACACATACATATGTGATACATGTTAGGCAAGTTGAGATATGGCCAAGTTCAAGGTCATGGTTGATGCATGCAAAGGTGGTTTAAATGAGCTTGATCGGCGTCTCAGATTTTAAGCTTAAACCTTGAAATATTTCCAGCTCACTTTTTTCTCAATTCTCAATGTATGATCATATATACATACATACAACTTCAAACACAGCACAACACAACAAACAACACACGCTTAGATTGGAAACTCTATTTGATGTAAAAAAAACAAATTGTATGGCCAAATTACAATACAATCTCCTTTGGTTGCCAGCTAGCTCTTTTCGACAATTATTCACAGACTTTTCCCATATTTTTTAACACACTACACACTTATGTTTTTATCTGGAATTCCTGTTCTTGTTTGAACGAAACAAAAAAAATTTTAGTGTTTTTCGTCCTTTTCTTAGTTTGCATTTTTAATGAAAACAGTTACATTTTTAGTTGTAAAGGTGGAAGTGTGCAGCAAAACCTCGAAATGTTATGTATATGTAAATTTTATTCCGATTTTCCGTACTGGTTGAGACACAAAAGATCGATAACGGTGGTCGTAGTTTTACTAAACAAAATTAGAAATCGGCATTTTTGTGTATTTTTTTTTTTTTAATTAACTTAATGGTGATAAGACGTCTTTGTACGATTTTGTCCCTTTATATGGACATGTTTAGCTATTTTCGTTAAAAGTACATAAATTTCCCTTCTACTTTAAATTCGTTTTCGGGGAAAGGCCGAGGAATTGAAAATAAATATGACCATCTGCGCTCTTCTTTCTCTTCTTTCTTCTGCAGAATTGCGAGTGTCAAAACTTAAACGTACGAAGTCTAGAAGAGCTAAAAGGTCTGTGAAAAGGGAAAGTGCTGGCATTCGAGTGGATTTAGGGCGTTCCGTTAGAGTGCAGAGGTAAATGAAAACCCTTTTTAATTAAATGCACAATTCTATGCCAAATAATGCGCTTTTCTCTTTACACTTGTTTACTTGTTCAAATCAGAGATGAATCTTGCGCTGGTACTCCTCCTGGTTCCACAGCTACCTCTTCAAATTTGTCGAAAAGTCCGTATACGTGCAAAAATTGTGGTCGAGTCTATCAGAGGTTTTTCACATTGAAACGTCATTTGACAAGCGAATGCAACCAGCCAAAAAAATTTATTTGTGTTATTTGCGGGCGAGGCTTTCATCATAATTTTAAGCTAACGCAGCACTACATGCGCCTGCATAGGTCGTTGCCACCGAGCTGAGTTTATTCCTAGTTTATTTAGTAATTGTTCATGTACATTTACTTTTCCAAGCCTATATATGTACATATGTACCTATGCATGTATGTATGTGTCGTATCTCTATATATACATAAATACATCGTATCCAAAAACATTTAAAAAATACCCCAAATTGAATCATTTTATGCGTCAACAACAGTGAGGTTTTTATCATAATCCTATTTGAAATAAAAATAGATAGAGTAAAAAGTCATTGCGTATTGTATTTTTGTTTTGCATGTTTTTCAAAGAAATTTATACATACCTACAATGTAGATTCTACCCTGCAAAAAATGGGACTAATCCGGGATGACTCTGGGAGCAATCGCAAAGGAGCATGCGACTAATACCACTTTTGATCTCTTTATATGGAATGAACTGATCGCTTTTGTTTGAGCATGTCCTATGAAGAGACTAATTGTTCACCTTTATACCCGAACGGGTATAAAAAGCGACTAGTCACTTTTAAAAAATAAAAATAAAAATTTGCGCCAGCTGAGACTCGAACCGGGGTGCTCAGTTTTGTTAGGCGAATACTCTCTTGTGTGCCAACGCCGCACATGAAGTTTCATTGACTAAGTGCGTACATATCATTAAATCGTTAATAGTACCCGTTAGAGATGAGTTGGGGACTAATTGATCTCCAATTATACCCATAAGGGATGAGTCGTGACTAATTGACCTCCATTAGTACCCGTATGAGACTAGTTGGGACTAATTAATGCCCAATTGTACCCGGTTAAGAGTAATCTCGGAATACTCTCTTTAGAGATTAGTCGCACATTTTTTTGCAGGGTAAATATGTACACGCATACATATGTATGAAGATCAAACATAATATAAATTATTCACGTTTGATGATCTTTTGTCATCTTCAATTCATTCAGAGAAATTCATAACACTGTACGGCAAAATCAACATTTTTTCTCGGCATTGAACCAAAGCAAATTTTTTTTTTTACCTTTAGTCATAGGTAAAACAGTTATTTCTCCGTTTTTCGAAGTTGGCCTCCGAAATCGAGATATGGGCCGGCCTTCGAAGTAGTAAGTAGTCCTCCTTTTGCTCTTATTTAAATGGTATATAACTTTTTTTGTGCAAACTTATATTACAGGTGCTATAAGGGGTCAAAGTTCAGGTCTTCGGAAAATTAAATTCCTCATATTGCAAACAATTTTGAACTGATTTTTAAAAATAATATCGTTGTAAAGGTGATTAAGAAAAAAATTTATATACCTTATAAATAAGAGCAATAAACGGACCTCGTCTGTATTTTTACTTTGGTTGCTTTTTTTACATGCAA